TCCTCTTTCATTAAGAAAAGATTTCTAGGCTAAGGAACCAGAAAACTGGTACATCTGGAGCTCTTGATAACAAATCAAACAATAATAAAGGACATATTATAGGCCAGGCACGGTGGCTCACGCCTGTAATCCCAGCACTGTGGGAGGCCGAGGCTGGGGATCACTTGAGGTCGAGTTCGAGACCAGCCTGGCCAACACAGTGAAACCCTGTTTCTACTAAAAATATAAAAATTAGAATGAGGCTCAGTCTTAAGAAAACCCCCCAAACCAAAACCAAAACCAAAACCAAAACCAACAAAAAACAAGAGAAATTATACTGTAGGGGTTAAGGATGAGGACCAGGGAGTTATACTGCGTAGGTTCAAATCATGGCTATACTATACTGTCGTAAGTTATTATTTATGACCTTCAAGAGATTCTTAGTCTTTCTGTGTCAGTTTCCTCCCCTGTGAAATAATAATATTAACAGGAACTTGCTTCAGAGTTTTGAGGAGTACATGAGTAAATCATGTAAAGTATTTACAGTGCCTGGCAGGCAATAAGTTTTATTGTTATCATTATTATTCCTTGATTCTTTTTTTTTTTTTTGCTGCTTGAGATTACTATATCAGATTTTTTAAAATACAGAAGTTTAATTCAACAACATATAGTGATAACTTGCTATGAAGATGAATAAGACACATTCCTGCTCTCCAAGAGTTTATAGTGGGAAGAGATGGGTAAGCAGAAAGTAAACAGGTATACCATATGATATGGGTTATGATGGGATATGTATATGATATTAATGGAGAAATAAAGCAAGGGTATATAATTCTCCTATAAGGGTTGAGGTTTTTGGAAAATGTTTTGCCTAAGCTGAGCTTTGATGAAGGGGCTAGGTTAAGGTGGGCCTGGGAAGGAGTCATTCCATCAGAGGGAATAACATGGAAACATTTCACAGAAAGGTATGTCAGGGGATTCAGACAAGACTCAGTGTGACTAAAGTGTATCCCGTAACATAAAGTTTTGTCAGGGAGCAATGAGTGATGAAGCTGGAGGGTGGATAAGGACCAAGACATCAAAAACAATAATGGATTTTAAGCAGATAACTGTCATGCTCATATTTGCTCTTTAGAAAGAACGGTTTGGCAGCATTGTGGAAGTTGGATTTATGGGACCATGACTGAAGGCAAAAAGTCCACTTACAAACTTATTGCAACTGTGTAGGGGATAAGGACCTGATTATAGGAGTGACAGTAGGGTATCTAAAGACATCTAACTGCTTGTGTTCTATGTTCAAAGTCAGAAGTTCAGGGGAAAGATACTAGAGAAATACTGTACTCATAAGAGTATAGATGGCTAGAGAAAATAACAACACTAGAAATGGGTGAAATTACCCAGAGAAATATGTGGAGTGAAAAGATCTGTGAGCTGACTACCAAACTTTAAGAAACACCATGTATAAGGAGTGGGTAGAGAAAGAAATAGAAAAGACAAGGCCAGGAAGGTGAAAAGATTGCAGAGACAATGGAGCTCCTATTGGAGTAGAGGCTTATAAAAAAAAAAAAAAAGAGGGTGTGGGAGGCTGGGCGCAATGCCTCACACCTGTAATCCCAGCACTTTGGGAGACTGAGGTGGGTGGATCATCTGAGGTCAGGAGTTTGAGACCAGCCTGACCAACAGGGTGAAACCCTGACTCTACTGAAAATACAAAAATTAGCCAGGCGTGGTGGAGTGTGCCATAATCCCAGCTACTCCGGAGGCTGAGGCAGAAGAATCACTTGAACCTAGGAGGCGCAGGTTGCAGTAAGCCAAGATCATGCCACTACGCTGGGTGCACGCCACACCTGGGTGTGGGCCAATGTGAGTATGAATCAGAGATATTTCTCTGATTAATTTACCCTGTCTCTTCTCCTTACCATCCCCCTCCTTTCTGTCCTCTAACTTCAGTTGCCTTCACCATTTTTGTCTTTCACTATTGTCTATTTTCCTTTACTGTTTTTACTTAGAAAAATTTCAAGCTTTCAGGAAATAAAAAATTTACAATAGTATAATAAGCACTCATATACAATTCACCTAGATTTACCAATTGTCAATTGCCGTCTTTGTACACACACTCTTTCTGTATGTATGTACAGATATATACATATATAAATTTTTTAAGGTTTTGATTGAATAGATTTAGTTGCAGACATCATGATACTTTACTCTTAGATACTTTAGCTTTTGTTTTCTAATATAAACATGGAAATTTTCTGACAAAACCACAATCACAGTCAGGAAATTTAACCTTGTTATGATATGATCTAATGAACAGCCCATATTAGGATTGCCCCAGTTGTCTCATTATCCCTTATAGATTCTCCCACCCTGGTTCCACAACACATTTAGCTGTAGTATCTAGTATCTCTTTAGTCCCCTTTAATTCATAACAATTCTCCAGCTTTTTTTATTTATGTATTTGCTTCTTCATATTTATAATTTTGAAGAGTCCAAGTCAGTCGTTTCGGAGAATGTGCCTTAGTTTGGGTTTATCTGAGTGTTCCTTCAATGATTCTCCTGCCTTCAGTCTTTCTCCTTGCCAGTTCATTTTCCACATTGTTACCAGAGCTGATACTTTAAAACAAAATGAGATCTAGATATTCCCTTGCTTAAAAGTATTTGAAGGTTCCTTTACTCACAAAATTAAATTCCTTAGCACGCCTTTCAAAGCTTTTCACAACTTACCTGTAATAGCCCTCTGCCATTAGAGCCTTCATCTCTTCTAGTGACTAGCGGTTAGTACTTCCAGGTATACTAAACACCAAATACTTTCCGTTTCTTTCTATCAGCCTTTCCTTCTGTTTGGAGTATCCTCCTCCAAGTCAACTTATACCTATCCTTCAAGATTCTGTTACTTTATCTTATAGATACTAGTTGAGTGCTTATAATCCACCAAGTACTATGCTAGGTGCTGGCATACAATCCTGAACAATACCAACATAATCTTTGTCCTTCTGGATTTTTTTTTTTTTTTTTTTTTTGGGACAGAGTCTTGCTCTTTTTGCCCAGGCTGGAGTGCAATGACACAATCTCTGCTAACCGCAACCTCCGGCCTCCTGGTTCAAGCGATTATCCTGCCTCAGCCTCTTGAGTAGCTGGGATTACAGGGGCGTGCCACCACACCTGGCTAAGTTTTGTATTTTTAGTAGACATGCGTCCACCTCCTGGTTCAAGCGATTATCCTGCCTCAGCCTCTTGAGTAGCTGGGATTACAGGCGCGTGCCACCACACCTGGCTAAGTTTTGTATTTTTAGTAGACATGCGATTTTGCCATATTGGCCAGGCTGGTCTTGAACTCCTTACCTCACGTGATCCGCCCGCTTTGTCCTCCCAGAGTGCTGGGATTACAGGTGTGAGGCACCGTGCCCAGCCACCTTACAGAATTTATACTGGCTGAAATGTCATCTCTTTTGCACTTCTATAGCACTTTATACACACCTTTATTATAAAATGTATTACATTT